TAGTAATAGAGCCTGAAGTAATACATATTCATGAGGTGATATCATTTCAAAACTTGTCAATCAACAGGCTGTTACATACCTTTTGATTTGTAAATATATGAACCCATACATGCCCAAACACGTGCATTTTATATGAGCAAGGATTACCTCTCTTTTATAGCTTAAAATTCACATTAAATTCTCATATCACGGAACCTCATATGAGCCAGTCCCTCTTATTTACTGTTTAGTGGGTGTGATTTAAACCACACTGAATTGAAACAGTTATCCAAGTATCTGTGACAATGGCTTGAATTTTTGAAATTAAAGTAATCAAGATCCTTAGGAACTGAAACCTACCGTTGTCATGATTTTATACAGTTCATCTAAAGAAATATATCCATCACCATTGGTATCAATCTTTCGAAATGCTTTTATCAAATCTTCAGCATTTGTTACTGTTTCCTTTCTACAGATATTTACGAAATCTTCAAACGTCAAGGATCCTGTTAAATGATACAACGTGAATGGTGTAAATTAGTTTTGGGTATTGCCAATCATTCCATGATATGATACTAAACTGGTCCGCAATTTCATATAAAGCTAGGCACCGAAGGAAAGGGTTGAGCTATTGTCATCTTGGCGAAATTCACAACACTAGCGAAGTTGTCAACACTAAATTGACTACATTTCACCAAAGTCTGCTGTCAATTTTTTGACCGTGAGATTTAGGCTGTTAAGGATTTGGTGAAATTCATTGGGGCTCCTAGTGGTCAACTACATCTCACTAAAATACACATAAGACCAATCGCTGAATATATCAATATCTTGATTTACGTGGGGTGTATAGCTCTATATGAGTCAAGCGAATAATTTATATATGACTTTGCTTGGTGATACTCATCACAGTTAAAGGACTACGTAATGTAATTGATCAAATATAGCTCTTTATCTTAAAAGTTTCCCTGCATTGTGTCAGCACTAACTGAAATATTAGTTAACAATAGGGTGTAAATATCATATCATTAATGTTATGTTACAGAACTTTTATTTTAAATAAGCGTTAGTGAATAAGTTTTCATCAGATAATATAATCATAATCTTTTTGATTTTTATGTTTGAAGTACTGACAATTTCCATTTCAACTATATAAATCTTAACAATAGTCAACACTGCTTTAACCCTGTGTCAGTTCCTTCTGTTGAACAGTAGTTTGTTACCTTCCAACCACCTTAATCTCTATTAGAATTTGTGAACACTGCTTTAACCCTGTGTCAGTTCCTTCTGTTGAATAGTAGCTTGTTACCTTCCAACCACCCTAACCTAAATAAATGAAATAACTTCTTACTTGTATCTCGAGCCCAATATCTAGATAATGATTTAGTTGTTGGATTTCGACCAGTCTGCTGTAAAGCTGAAAGGAAAAATGGAAACCACTGATGACTAAAATAACAATATTTATAACAACAGTCTTGTACAGTGTAAATTCTTTTAAAAGCGAAAAAAACAATATGGTCATCATGTGTGGGATTAAGGCAAGTCTACAACTTCATTTATATATTCTTTATGTATAAAATTCAATTTTACATTTTACTTTTACACCTAGAGCTAACAAAGAGTAAAACTCCATGCAGTGTACAGCATTAACCTACACTTCTAACTGTTGAGGGATCTTTAACGTCCCATTCAAACAACTAGAACTTCTTCCATGTTAGCCCTGCATCACTGACAGGGAAAATTCAAAAGGGATCAACTGATCTATGCTAAAACTCGATCTCTGCATCTCTACTTTAACAATATTGAAGGGTTGAGATAAATCATACTAATTTCTAGTATGCATACTAACCTGATAAAAGATCATCTCTACTAGTAATCTCTTCTCTCAAATCATCAAATAAACATAAATAAGCTGCTTTACATTCTAATTTCAATTCATTATCTACAGTTGATGAGCGACTACTGTGAGATGCTGCTGAAGATGGTCGACTTCTATTTCGAGACATTCTTCTTTGACTGTGCTCCTATGAACAAGTTCTTGTTTTTAATAGTTATTAACAATGATATGTCTTATTTTGAACTTAAGTCTGAAATATCAAAATTCGCTATTTTCAAAGATATCAACTGGAGAAAAACTTGGCCCTGTTTTATGGAGATTTTCTAAAAAAAATTCTGTTGTTCAGTCATACAATGTCACCCTCATCATTATCCCACTATCTGATTTAAGCTTATCTTATGTCCCATCCATGCCTTTGCCTTTGGTAATCTTTTGAGATTTTAGCTATCCTGTCCACAAGTACCTGTGATACTGTCCACAAACACCTGTTGTCTTGTCTCTGATTCCATCAATTTTTTTTTTTCGTTTACAAAATAATACATGTAATATCTCTTCAGCCAAAGACTGCAGGTGCAAAAATAGCTCAAGGGACATGTAATACAATCAAAATGAAATATATCGGCGAATACAAGGTTTAAAAAAACGGAAAATGTCCATTAAACATGACTAAGTCGACAACCGTCAAATTGTAATCAATATTCCCTACCGATACTTTGAATTATAAACAGCACAAGGCTAGAGTAACAAAATGCATTGACAGTTCTCCAATAACACATAAGTATTAAAATATGCAAGGATTTAAATGAAAAGAAACTGAAAAAGATGATGATAAATATCATAAACACAAATAATTTAATATTGTTTACCTGTTGACAACGATAAGAACCAACTTGTTTTGGTGAACTTCCTACTCGCCGCGAGTACCATGGACTTCGTGCGTAGCCAACAAATAACATAAAATTATCTCCCTTCGATAACAGTGAAATTGCGTTCTATAAAAAAAAAGGCATTCTCACAACTCTCACATATTTCCAAGATATCTGGTTTAATCATCAAAAGTGAATCTACTATCAGTTTGATTATAACGCACGAAGTCCGCATTAATATTTTTTTTTATTTTTGTGACTTTAAAACAAGCTCATCATAGGTGTGTTCGATGACATGGATGTGTTCGATCTATCATGCATTTGCAAACCGAAACCATAACAGATCTTGTGCTTCGCAGTAGGCTAGTGTTTGTATTATAAGTCACCATTCTTTGGGGGGAAAATAGGGCTACCATTGACTATATTTTGAAGTTCTAACCACTACATCGCTATCAAATTGTATCATTTCGTTAAACAAGTCCGTCGACCAACAAATCAACATGGCTGCTGTGAAAATGGTACAAGTTGGCGAACAATTTATGTCATCGCTTTCTGGTGTGTCTTGGTCAGATGAAATACTTCAAGGATATCTTTTTGGCCAAATCACAAAGGATAAGACAATAGTAGTTGGGTTTGCTAAAACTAATCAGATTAAAGATAAATATGACCACACATATGTTTCTCAACATTTGGTTGGTGGTTTAGATATCTGTGGTGTAATTGTTAAACCAGGGTTAGGTGAAGATCCAATGTCAGCAGCTTTTGCAAAACTAGTGAAAGTTACTTTAGCAGAAAGGAATTTTCTTCAGCCAAATATACTCATATATTTATCAAATGGCGAAAATCCAAGTCAAAGTTTTAATTGGTTATTAGAAGATAAGAATATTGCTACACAAGCGGAAATTGAAATAAGAGACCACAGCATATTGTCAGAATCTCTTCTCGTACGCATTCAAACAAAAATTTCCATGACATGTCTCAACCCAAATTCCATAACGGAGGATATTGACCAAGAAGTACAGAGGCTGTGTTCAGATGTAAAAAATGGTGGCTCTCTTACTTTTTCTATAGCAGAATCTTCAATCCTACTCATGTATGATGAAACATATGGCCTTAAGAAAAATTCAACAGCCAGTAGTCTTCTAGAATATCTTCCAAAGTTAAAATCTAGTCAAGAAGTTGTATTATCAATGGATGTTCTCCAGAGACTATCAAATAACAACATTATTCCGACATGTGCTCCATTTATTCAACATAACATTGGTGAAGAAAACTGTTTGATGGTTGATTTACCTGTTGATGTTTTATGTTTTGTACCTTTAGACTTGCCCACCAAAGACATTAATCAACTGATATGTGACACCATTAGTCGGCAAATTGAAGCTATGGGCTGTAACATACGCGATAACATAGACAATGGTAAAGTTTTCCTACCAGAGGCATTCCACTTCCAGCCTCCAGAGTCTGATTATTTTTTAAGTATAATTTACCCTAAAGATATAGCAGATGATAACCTTGAAAGCTCCAGGAAGAAACTTCATGAAGTCTTTTGTTTACCTTCCAATAGACCACTGTTAAAGAGAAACAACAAATATATCTTTGGTGGAGAAGAAATTCCTGGTGGATATTTATTAAATCCTCATACTCAGATTAACATCCAACCATTAAAAGATTCAAAGTTTTATCTTGTGAAAGGTAATTACACTTACCACCACTACATGCAAGATAATTTTGATGACAATAAATGGGGATGTGCCTACAGATCTTTGCAGACTCTCTGTTCTTGGTTTAGGTTTCAGGGTTATACAGAACGCCCTGTACCAACTCACAAAGAAATTCAACAGGCTTTGGTGGACATTGGGGATAAAGATCCGAAATTTATTGGTAGTAGAAAATGGATTGGTTCATTAGAAGTTAGTTACTGCTTAGATAATCTTATTGGCGTCACTAGTAAAATTCTCAGTGTGAGTGCTGGAGCAGATTTGGCTAACAAAGGAAGAGAATTGGCCCAACATTTCTCAACTCAAGGAACACCAGTTATGATAGGAGGGGGTGTTCTAGCTCATACTATACTTGGTATTAATTTTAGTGAAGTGACTGGGGATATAAGGTTTCTTATATTAGATCCCCATTATACCGGTGGTGAATATATTCGTGAAGTTCTTGATAAAGGATGGTGTGGATGGAAGGGACCAGATTTTTGGGATCAGACTGCTATGTACAATATGTGTTTACCACAGATACCAAGCAATGCTTTATAGTTGCTGTCACTATTTCTTTATAAAACGGTACCGGTAACTGTAGTAGTTTTTTTTATATATTAAAAGCCTTTGTGAGCTTTTTTATGCTACTTGCTTGCTTTGAAAAACAGAAATCAACTTAAAGGGACAGGTGTGTCATTTTGGGGGTTTGATTCCAGTCTTGAATATAGGTACAGTCTTTAGAAGTACTAGAAATGTACTAAAATCGTCTAATTCCTTTAATAATACTTCAAACTAAGAATTTTACTCACTATTTCTATAATATGTCATTTTCATATATCACAGAGTATCTTAAATTGATGAATCGTCATTTTAACATTCAATCCCAGATAATTCTGGACACACATGGATTTAATGGGTCAAATTTCGATAGTGAGCTTTGAACACTATTACAGACTGGAATAGCTAAAAAAAATTCCTGTTTCTTTGACTAAAGTATGATGGGTAAAAAAAAAATGGTACATCTGTCCCTTTAAACCTGCCATGATGTATGAAAATTTTTCTATTTTACATTTTATACATACACAATTACTGCAAAAAAATAAAAATAAAAAGAAACAGCATACAGGATTTATATATTAACCCTTTGAACAACTGACTCGTGACTTGCAGTCATTGTAGGTAGAATGTTATTATTGTTATAAAGGATTAAATTGTTATGAATGAATTGATTGCATAAAAAATGATTGTTAAGTTATTGAGTGCTATATTATGTGCTTATATGATATAAATTTACTCAAACTATATTTCTATCTGAATCTATGAAGGAATTTCTTTTTTAAAGGACGCTTCCTCTTCGATAATGGACTTAAATTTGAAGTCTAGAACACGGTCAACAAGTGTATATATTCATCAGTTGGACTTGACCATGACTAAAGAACTGTCTAGGTCATTAATCCATTAAAGTAGCCCAAACCTTGTCTAGGTCATTAATCGACCATAGCAACCTAAACCTTGTCTAAGTCATTAATCCACCATAGTATCACAAACGTTGTCTAGGTCATTAATCCAACATAGCAGCCTAAAACTTGTCTAGGTCATTAATCCACAATAGCCTAAACCTTGTCTAGGTCATTAATCTACCCGAGTAGCCTACACTTTGCCTAGGTCATTAATCCAACATAGTAGCCTAAACCTTGTCTAGGTCATTGATCCAACATAGTAGCCCAAACCTTGTCTAGGTCATTAATCTACCCTAGTAGCTTACACCTTGCCTAGGTCATTAATCCTACATAGTAGCCTAAACCTTGTCTAGGTCATTAATCTACCCGAGTAGCCTACACTTTGCCTAGGTCATTAATCCAACATAGTAGCCTAAACCTTGTCTAGGTCATTGATCCAACATAGTAGCCCAAACCTTGTCTAGGTCATTAATCTACCCTAGTAGCTTACACCTTGCCTAGGTCATTAATCCTACATAGTAGCCTAAACCTTGTCTAGGTCATTAATCTACCCGAGTAGCCTACACTTTGCCTAGGTCATTAATCCAACATAGTAGCCTAAACCTTGTCTAGGTCATTGATCCAACATAGTAGCCCAAACCTTGTCTAGGTCATTAATCTACCCTAGTAGCTTACACCTTGCCTAGGTCATTAATCCTACATAGTAGCCTAAACCTTGTCTAGGTCATTGATCCAACATAGTAGCCCAAACATCTCCAAGATCATTAATCCACCATAGTAGCCTAAACCTTGTCTAGGTCATTAATCTAGCCGAGTAGGCTACGCTTTACCTAGGTCATTAATTCACCATACTAGTAGCCTAAACCTTGTCTAGGTCATTAATGTACCCGAGTAGCCTACATTTTGCCTAGGTCATTAATCCAACATAGTAGTCTTAACCTTGTCTAGGTCATTATTTCATCATAGTAGCTTTAACCTTGTGGATATTAATCTAACATGGTTGGCTAGCATTTACATAACCAAGGACACTAATCCATTTTACCTTGCCTAGGCCAATTCCCTCACAAGGCTGAACCTTAACATGGTCATCTATCCCACGTTCCTAAGCCTTGGCAAGTTCATCTATTCCATTATAGTAAACCTTGAAACGATTATCAATTCTATCATAGTAAACCTTGAAACGATTATCAATTCTATCATAGTAAACCTTGATATGGGCAACAGTTACACTGATGTAGGTTAAACACCGTCAATTGACATTATCCCTGGCCCCTTTAATTCAGACTATACTCGAATATAAGCACTGGGGCGTTATCAAGACCCATAAGATCACGACACAATAACGTTGCCTTGGAATAGCGAAGGCCTGGGCCTAATTGTTGCTTGATTGTCGTCATAATAGATGTTATTCTTATACAAAAGTTAACGAGGTATAGGAAAGATTAGTTTTGCTCTATAGGCCTATTGATTTAAATTTCTAAAAATCTGTTAAAATGTCAACAACAGCTGAAGATTTTCTTCACAGAACATATAAAAGTACCAATGTTTCCACGCCAACTACCAAATTGTGGAGAAATGACGAACAATATGAGTCGTCTGATGAGTCGTATTCAGAAGAGACTATATTAAACGTTGATAATTTCACAGAAGAAAGTAAATTAGGTAAATGATTATTTTCAATCGAATATAACACTGTCAGACCTGACCAGTTAACGGATTTACCTTGACTTGGAATTCAGTTTTAAAGCAGCAAGGCAAATAGTCAAGTTGAGATTACGGCATCTCTGTAAAAGCGTTTAGGCGCAAACGTCCCATGGAGTGTCTGAAGGGTTCTCCACCTGGAAATTTTTTGAAAAATGGACGTTTAGTGAAATAGACCTAAACATCTGTCTCTATTCCAGCCTCTGATAGCTATTTAGACAGCTAGTGTCAGCTACACCAGCACATCTGTCTAAATAGCTATCAGAGGCTGGAACAGAGACATATGTTTCGATCTATCGGTTAGAATGCTTTGAAATTATTGAAGTCGGGATAACGTGAGGACTAAGTTGCTATTAGTATGACGACCACTTTCCCCATTATTTTAGTTGATCAAGCCTCAAATGTGTACAATATAAATTTGGAGAAAAAAATCAGACCAAGGATAATCTAAAACCCCAAGAGATGAGTCATTATTCATTCATGTAAAATGATATACATGTATATGATTTCCTTTTATTTCTTTAAGATGGTCATGTATCAGATGAATCAATGGGTGGATCTTTACCAATTGCCACAACTAAAACAGAGATCAGTTTACCAGGTTCTAGAAGAAAAACAAAGATAATTGATAAGAAGGTTATAAGTGAAGGAGAAGTTTTGCGAAAAAACGGGCGTTTACTTCGAATGATGTACATGTTACAATTACGTAAACGATCTCAAAGTTCACCGCAAACAAACGCATTTGATAACACTTCAGCATCAACAAGTAAGTCCAATCAGCCACAACCAGAGGTTCAGCTTGTTGGAGCTGAAACGCCATTAAAGAAGCACAATGATGAGGTCAAGAAAGATGTTACTAAGGTTACAGGAGAAAAGGTTAACCGAAACCCCACCCAAAGCTCCGATCCACGACGATTATTGCGCAAATTTATCAATACGGGAAGGATAGAACATTAGATCGATGTCCATTGGGGTAGGGAACTTAACTCATAGGGTGCATATAATGGAGAAAGAAGTTTTTATTTTATAGATCCCGAGATGAATGGTATGGTCTCTCTCAATTCATTCATCGATTGGCTGAGGCATTCCAGCGCCTCAGTTTCATACACCAATAAATTGAACTTTAACCATTTGTTATTAGTACCCTTTTTTGTAAATGCTAGTATCAGTACATAGAGTGTATAATGAAATATGTAAATTAAAAGAATCATGATTAAAGGGACAGGTCACCATCCGTTGAACCAATCGTCCCTTAGTGTCAGAAACTTTTTTTTTTTTAGCTGAAACTAATCACCATCCAATTCTAAGCCTTCAAATTCATGTGTCCAGAATCTTCCGCGTTTTAAAGTTGGAATGACGACTCATCTTTTCTTAAGACTTCTAATTCGAGCTATATTTTAAGGGATTATGCGAATGTTGTGCAGTTCTAGTACTTCTCTAGAAGTAATTATTCCCACCCTCTCCTTTAAAAAAACTCAACACCCGAAAATGGTGAACCATGTCTTTTAAGATAATCAGATCGCCGTGCTTGACTTTAAAAACGCCGAGACTTGTTGACACTTTTTATCACAAGAAAAACACCAAAACACATAGAATTTATATAAATATATTAGAAATGTGTAAAAAAAATAAATATGGTACGAATAACAAAATATAATGATAAAGTATCAATATCACAGAGTAAACGAGAAAAAAGTTTCTATAATATTTTTATCATGAAGAGTTTCATAAAAATGTGTGTGTCGGGGACACTGATAGCATCAATTTCCACCATTCCGATTTTTGATCAGACGTCGGTGGTTCAAGTATTTGATGACGTCACATCGCAATGTTTCATCACATCAAAACCTCTTTACACCCCTTTAATGGACACACCAGACAACACCAAATTTAGACTTTCATTATTTTTTTTTACTGTGCAGTTGGTTGGATCATTCTAAATTTAACAATACAATAAAGCTTGTAAAAACGTTTCTATCCTATTTTTGAAAAAATATTTATTTATGGACCATTTCCAAAGTATAACTATTAACACGATGAAGAGGCCGTGAATTTTCGTGGAGGATTGAGGACGATTATCAGCTCCATCTGAGCGTTATTTTTCTTACAATAGACTTTTCCCGAAGCCTTTCCTCGGACGTTATATAGGATGGGATATATGGGATATCGGTAAAGTCCGATGAACGTGTTTAGCTTAATTTGTTATGCTAGTCCGAAGCGATTCTTTTCACAGCTGCTACGCCTACAATACAAAGCGATACTTCTACCAAGGGCCTATCATTGGCCAACAGATAAAAAGCTAAGCATATTATTAGGCCTAGTATACATCTTGATAACGTATAATATAAAGACTTTATAACTATGATGAGAGTTTTTTCAACTCGATATCACAATCGTCGTAATCATCTATAGAGACATCATCGAAGTCTAAACTTTCAAATGGGCTACCAGAATCTTCTTTAGATCCTCCAACTATCAGGTATAAATCATTTCCACTTCTCTCAGCTGTGACAGGTCCTTCTCTCGATCCATCCACCTTCAAATAAACTATTCCTTTGGATTTGGAAACAGATTTTAAAATTTTCTTTATACTGTTCAAATAACACAAGACCCCTAACATTTGATTGTAGTTAAGTGCTGAAATGTTTGAATCGGTTACAAAATTAACACCCATTTGAATGCATTGAAACCAACATTGGTATATTAAAGAGCAGGAATTGTGGCTGTTGAACAAATCTCTTCTTATGGCGAAGCTCTCTAGAGCAGTGTACCTTGGCACATTGTGGACCTCTTCATCAGCTCTTGTATTACCACTGAACTCAAATGGTTGATTCAGATACCCAAGTAGATCACATGCTTTTCCAGGATCAGCTATATAGTAGATAACGTTGTCAACGGTCAAAATCTGTCCTTTAGCTCTCCAATCAATGTTTGGACACCCGAATAAACATTTGGAGTTCACGAAACTCATAGTATTGAAATTGTCAGATGTAGCTTTTCTGAAGATTAATTTGAATTTTTTGGATTTTGATTTGGATAAGGTGAATATGGGTGTCCCCGGGGTCAAATGTTCGACCTCATTCTTGGTCAACCAACACCACAAACCAGTTTCAGATCTACAGTTCCCAACACGCCAGCAGTAGTTTGAAGTATCCAGGGAGCGTTTAAACTCATCTAGGAAGGTGTTATTAAGATACTTTTCAAAGTGCTTCATCTCAAGGGAAAATAGTTGTGACGGATGAGCCATACGTGGATTTTCCATGCATATTGTGTTTATCAAAGCATCCGTATCCAATCGCAAGGATCCCTTGAATCCATAGCTATTCTGTAATGAGGAAAGTATCTTGTCCAAAATATTTTTCGTTTTTGATTTTGTCTTCCATACTGCAATTATTTGATTTGTTTGCAATATTTGGAAAGCATTCGAGTAGTCAAAATCACTCGATGACCAAACACTCGAAGATTTTTCCACATGCACTCCAATAGTAATTTCTGGACCATCTAAAAATATACCGGCTTCAGCGGCACGAGGAACAACTTTTACAACAACTTTTCGAATATCCAAGTTTAAGAATGGCATAGCAGCAGCTGCAGAACCACACTTTGATAGATGCATTCTGATACAGTTACTGACTATACTGTGGGCATCGGAGTAAGATTTGGCAAGATTAAGAGAACTCCAGTCAACGTCTAGAACAGCTGTCGTACCTCTCGATCTCTTCTTTATGAATGACTGAAGTTTCAGAACGCTCTCTTGGAAGTTGATGCAAGTTGAATGAAATAATGTCACAAACTGTACCAGCGGAGAGAAACACTGGATTCGTTCATGATCGATTTTGAACTTCCACACTAACTTCTCTTGTAGCTGTGGAATGAAGCTTAGGTCGTTTATGTTTTCATCTTTGGAATAGCTAACTTCTATCATTGAGATTGGTGCTAAGAGATTCAGGAGATTTTGACGGGTTTCTTTGTTATACAGTGACCAAACGTCTCTCAGAACACCTCCTACTAACGATATGGTATCATTAAGTTGGCTCAATGGATTACTGGATGAGTCACTAGCCAGTAACTGTGTGATTTTACTGGAGTCTTCAGATTCATCAAGAAGGGTCCAGTCCACAATAACTTTAATACAGGAACCGGGAATACAGGATCGGGTCTGAAAAAGAGAATCATTACAGCTGAAAATATTAATAAGGTACGATTTACGTGATAATGAGACGTACATGACTATAAACACATATGATTAAAAGATGGTGGAACATAACCATTTGCCTACATCAGCACATTGTTGGTAAACAAGCACTTTTCATATCAAATTTATCAAATGTATACTCTATTGTATGACCACATACATTCTAAATTTCACACAAAAATGTAATTTTGTTTATGGGCAGGGGCATCAACTTGTTCCCCAATTTACCTTCCTTTCCCCATTGTCAGACTGGTAGTTACAACCGGATGTGGTCATATAAAAATGAACTGAGCATCAACACAATACATAAAAGTTTCTTGTATACTCACATTTAGCTCAATGTCCTTCAACTTCTCCTCAACTTGGTTTTTGAACTGAGGATTTGGTAAAATATCTTGAGGTACACTGGAACACATGACCATCCATTGCTGGGAATGATCATCCTGTACCAGAGTCACGTCATCATATAGGATGTCTTCTTCAATATAAGTGCAAGGTTCAACCAATTGATCAGTGTAACATCTTACTATGATTTTTCTTAGCTTCAGCCATGCGGCACTATTCTTGGATATTTCCTGAACGTATCTCCCTATAATTAGTTTGGAAAATAGTATGGATATGACATCGACTTCTGAAAGCTTGGATGTAGCGGTACATTGACGTATACAGTCAGTTTCTACTATCACCGATTTACCAAATATTGTTCTCGGATAGACTAATGTGCTGTTATGATGCAGGTTTAAGTTTTCGAAGATTTCCTCGATCACGCACTGGGGGAGGAGACGGATTATATCAAAATCAGAAAGTCGTCCATTCTTATGTTTGATCTTGCACACTTTGAATTGTTGTGGGTCCAACCGGTATTGAAGGCTGAATGGTAATTTTTTCACAAGATCTCGAAGAACATTGAGTTTCTCAACTCTCTGCTTTCCATTCATTTTAGCTTCAAATAAGTTGACAATTTCCATGTTACCCATACCATAAGCGGATTCCAGAATAGACTGATCACGTGGGGTAACAGAAGTTATGTCAGTACGGGACACATGGATCCACTTCACAATGTCGTTTAGATGATAACCAACACACAAATTGGCTATTTCTGGTATATCGAATTGCGTCGTTTGCTTGGCATCTTTAAGTAACTGAAGAACCACTGTGTCGATCTTCTTTTTAATTGCGCATTTAAGGACTGCTTCTTCACAGCCTAGCTCGCTTAGCAGAAGAAACAGTTCGCCATTAACCGGGATCTGTGGATATCCCATTGTGTATAGAGCTGAATTGATAATTTGACTTGACTTTGAAATGGTTCTCCACGCCAAAATCTTTTGCATCGGATGAAAATGATGCGCTTTCATTCCTCTTTTCCTCTGGCTTAGTCTGAAGCCAGAACTTGACTTTTTCCGGTCGTAGATGTTTCGAACTGAATGAAACTGTGGTGAAATTCGTCCCTTTTGTAAACATTTAAACCAACCAATGCAGTAATTATGTAAACAATCAAAACAGGCGAAATTTGTATCGAGATGATTGCAGTGATGAACATCTTTTTCTGGTCCGCACAGAAGGTGTATAACATGATGGTGGCCCATTGCTACAGCTGTTGATGCTGGTATCAAACCAAAGTTATCTTTTGCAGAATTAAGTGCTGGACTTTGTACCATTCTGACAATATCTTCGTTCCCATATTTTGCTGCAATGTGAAGAACAGTTTCACCATTTCGATATTTCCAATTGTTGTACGTTTTGTCATGAATCAATGCATCAACTGCCTCCATATTTCCACATTCGATGGCTGTGACTATTGGAATTTTACCTTTGAACTCCAAGGATAACCAAGATGAATGTTCTTTTGTTGAATACAATTTGATCAAATCTAGCAATGCTTTCAATGTCAGGTTATTATTGTAGCGTGCACACAAATGTAGCAAAGGTAATTTCTGGTAATACTTTTCCATCATATACACTATATCTTCCTGTGCAGCGTTACAGTAATGCAGTGCTCCTCGATCGTCGCCATTTTTTAATAAATTTTCCAAAGTAAGACAAAGTCTTTTCTTTTTTATATGGCTAAAATGGATAACATTGTCGTTTACAGTCATTTCATTATCAACCATAAGACTTCTGAACCAACCACAAGGTACATAATCCAGGTTGCTTTGGTTGGACGAACTCGAACACTTTGTTAAAATAGTCCTCAGCCTAATATGACCAAAGGAGCTGGCAAGATGAATATGGTTGATCGAAGTTTCGAGCTGGAATTTCGAGAGTAACATTTCGGCTAAGGCTTCAAAACCATATATGCACACATAGTCAAACACACCGAAACCCAGCTCGTTCGTAAGCGTTATATTAATTTTATGGTTTATTAGAAGATCGCGGACCAGACTTTCATGACCATTGGATGCGGCGATGAGGCACAATTCATCCAAACAAGAATCGTTAGACGTCATTCGTTCCAAAAATCTTATAACATCGGTGTTTCCTTTTCTGTAAGCTATCTTCAGAGCTTTATAAACTGCATCAGAATCCAAATGACTGTGCCTACTCATCAGTTTCTCGGAAATATGTTTGACCATTACAAGATTGTTACTGATAATGGCACATTCTAGTATTGATAACTGCTCAACCTTGCTATTCCAAGTGATACTTGAATTTTTTCTCATGAAGTCAACATCAAACAATCGGTGATGGTTCATAAAATAAAAAAATAGTGCAGTTCTTCCAAATAGTGAACTCAGACAAATGAACTTCGGTACCAAAATACTAAAGGCCTCATTATCAATAAGGTTGTCACTTAATTTGATCACAAATTCCTCATAATCATATTTGATGGCATCTTGAACTCTGTTATCCCAAGCATCGATAGGTTGATCTTTTAGGATATGCTCTAATATTGGCATCACCACATTATAAAGTCTTTGGTCCTCAACGATTTGCCAGGTTATATTCTGTATCCGCACTTTGTTATCTGAAATGGTTTTCAGACATTCTGTTCGGTTTTCGTTATCCTTTTTCGTCAAACTACTCATTTTGTCTCTCGATCCAAATAAAAGAATCAAATCAATGGTACTTAGGTCATCACATAATGGTTTGGTAAGAAGTTTGTTGTATTCCTGATTACTATTGCACGAACTCCTGATGATTTCAAACAACCTTGGTTGTCCAAGAACTGCTGATAGAAATAAGATAGGTTCCGAAAGAAATTGTTCTTTACACTGAATGCTGTCGACAGCTATGTTTCTCAAACAGTCCCAAGGAATAGCATGGTTTATGTCGATATGTTGAAAACATGGAATGTTGGATGTCTTTTCGACTATTCGACCAGCTTCTTTGAATAAATCACGAAAGCTTTGTGATTCTGGTTTGGAGAAAGAATTCAGAATGATTGTTTTTTTTATAACGTCTTCGTTGTTTGACATTTTTATGTCTCCAAGAGCAACGCGGAGTATAGCACTCTCGAGGTGGTCACTGGTGCCGTATTCTGCGATACTGTCCCATATTGGTCCCTGATTGTTCACTATGGCGTATATCACAGGAGATTCATAAATATTGCCAAGAAAAACTTTCTTCAGAGGCTGTTCAAGGATTGAAGATACCAACTGAAAATTTGAAGTTCCAATAGCTACATTTAATAATGATGTTCCTTGTTTGAGGGACTGCAACATCAGATCAACCAGTAGTTTCACCTCACTCATGTTATTATCTCTTTGTAAATGATTGACTTTTTCTAAGACGGAAACATCTTTCGGAACTTTGTGAATAATGCGATTAGTGTCATAAATTTCCTCAAAGAATGATCCATTTGATCCAACTCTATCTGCGACTTCACATGATCTTGTTCCTTTTCTAGTTAATGCCAATTGACCACGGCTGTGACTTTCTAAAACGGTTTTCGTTCCAAATAAGTACAATCTTTTCCTGGTTAAATGAATTGTCCTTACTTTAGATAAAACACAACCGTTCAGAATCAACAGTTTAGCCATGTCCCAGTGGTGATTGGACAAGGCGTACCACAAAGGTGTCGCATTAGACGCATCGGGCATATTGAGGATCTGGTTTATCTGATGATTATCGCAGGTTGTCAGTTGGTTAAATATCAATTCTACAATGGTCATTTTTCCTTGAGCGCAGACAAAATGCATAAAGGTTCTCTTATGTTTGTCCTGTTGCTCTAAATAGCCCAATCCAATAAATTCATACGAATTCAACATTGGTTTAACGATGTTGTCGGTAACTTGGTCATTTCTCTTTATCGCAATGATTAAGGCATTTTGTGCTTCTTCCTGATTTAGACTTGACCAATCAAACATCTTTACCAACTTAAGGCACACATCTTCTGGTCCACGAGCAAGGGCGATCAGCATGGCTTTACTAAAAGGAGAAAAAACCGAATGTACGACGCAGCAAGATGTTTCATCTAATGACTTACTAAAATCGTTTTTGTGTATTTATGTTGTTATTAAAGTAAACGTTACAATTTGAAACTTCATTTGAATTATGCACAGTGAATGTATTCTAAGGATTAACTTTTTCTTGTCTGTTCATTTGTTTTGGTCCGAAAAAAAAAACCAAAAAGTAACATAATAAGGAATTTTTGTGAGGGCATTCGGTCGACGGAAATTATCTCCCCCTCTTCCATCCTATATCTAAAAGTATTTACCTTAGACCCGTGCAGCATGTTATATCTTGACAGTTATCAAGGCACCATCTTGTAATATTCCAGTAATACATTGTGATTGAGTTCTCCAAAATATCAAGACTGAAGCCAGGGTCAGCATGTTGATCTGTTGACCTTTAAAAGACATAAATTTATATATTTATATTTTATAAGTTTAATGGCCCACTCAAAACAACGCTTTATTGAGGTAATTTTTGTTGGCTTTTAAAACAAGACCAATTTGGAATTTATTTTCAGACTTGGATCCTTGGTTCAAAAAAGTAGCGAATATTGCTGTTGACTTGAATGCAAATTACCTGTAAAGAAACTGTATTGTTTCTAAAGATACTTGTTCTTTGTGTGCTGTCTTTATCTTTGGTTCCCAATTAGTAAGGCCTGAAATAAAGAAAGAAAATTAACTGTAAGATACCATTCTACTTCCATAAACTATTCAAAGTATTTGCAAAGTAAAAAAAAATCAGACCTTAAGTTATATAGAAAGTCATATTGGTCAACTTACATAGAAATGTTGGTCCTTGACAAGCAGATGATATTGTTGACAAATTAACTTGGGCACCTTGATTTATAAGATATTCGATAATGTTCTGGTGACCAAATCCAGCAGCTATATCTAATAGAGGACCCATTTTAATTTTAGTTTCAAGATAGGACAGACAGACTTTCAATATGTGTAACTCTCCATAAATACAAGCAAGTGCCGCCAAGGATATGTCCTTATCCATTATGGTATTCTTCTGTTCAGAGGATAGCTTTTGGAATATCTTCATTAGTCTTACTTCCAGTTTGATCACATTCAGATGATTCACAAGCTTACACACTGATTTTTTAGAACTATCAATTTGAAAATCTTTCCATGCCAATGCTAGTTGGAAATATGGAATTCTTTTCTTTTGGAAGGTCCAATCAAGGGAACTCTTGAGAATTTCTGGTAGAGCCAGTGTTAGTTTAGAAGCGAGGTATAATCCTTCGTGTTTATTCTTTAAGTTATCGAAAATACAAAGAACTATTTCCTGTAGCACAGTAGATTGATCAACAACCGTATCCTCGTCGAAAGATTCGTTCATACTGGCTTTTAGTCGCATAACAAGGTCTTGAAGACACTCTACATCCATTTTTGATAATACACATTTTAATCCGTTAAAGAAAAGATGGACACACTCCATAGGAGCCTTTGAAATAAAATCGAAAATAATCTTTGATAACACTGGATGTGTAGATTCATTGCATCTATAAATATTACATATACAGTATGAATTTCTACCAAATAGACATTCCCAAATGATTGATATGCCTTCTGTTGATAGGAGCCGATGACACATCTCCCATAGTTTACTATCCACACAGGCAACAAACATTTCACAGGCACCGTGGATAACTGTGTCCTTATCAACTTCAATACCCGATAGGTGTTGATTCGGTTTGACAAAAATTTCATTGACTAGAATATCATTTCCCGGTATCTGAATCATCAGCTTCGTCAAAGGAAGCTGTCTTAGATGTCCATTCGATTTGTCTTGGTACTGGTAGAGAAGTTTGTGAATCTCAAGCTCTTTATGAAGGAATAGTCGAGGGCGGTACGATTTGACTGTGGATGTCGTTAAGATCTTATGACATTGAAGAAGATTTGGAAAATGTCTTAAAAGACTTTGGATTGGAGCTGATCCCTGGCATACACACAACGCTTGTAGAAGTCCATTATTGCCAGAGTAATATTCAAAAATTTTTTGTGGTGATACCACATTCTCCAAACTGCTGATGCTCTGGTATGTATTTGGAATGTTTAATAAATATTCCTTAACATCACAGTGTCCTTTTAAGATAGCTAAATGGATAGCAAAAGAAGTTTGTGTTGATGCTCCACCTTCCACAAGGCACTTAAGTAATGGAAGATCTTTATCTATTACAGCTATTTCTAAAGGTTGGTAACAGGAACGATTCTGGGATTCTTTGGTCATAGAAAGCCTTTCTATCAGATGGTCAAATTCATAAGAAGCTCGCTCAGATGGTAATACTCTTTCTACACTATTATCTTCAACATGCGAATCTAATGTCGACTTATAGTCTGATAGACTGTCTACCAGAAAATTTGGACAGGCACCAGACTCGAGTAAAAGCTGAACAATTTCTATTCTCTCGAGTAGTGACTTATCCGTCTTTGCTTCCATTATGACTACTATCAACAGAAGTTCACTCAACAAAGACTTGGGAATAGTCCACAGTCTAAGTATAATATCCAAAGATCTTAATGAGAAGTATTTAGCACACAAACCACATAGTAAAGATAGGTCATTCATAGACAAATCAACATCCAGCATATTAAGGAGAAGATCCACATACTCAGTTTGTTCTGCAATGATATGAGATTCTATGGCAGATAAAACGATGTCTGTATACGATGGGGTACGGAATGATGGGGCTGTGGATTGGCGGGGTAACTTTATTATGTTACTGGTATCTGATTTTGATCTTTTGATTTTCTTCAAAATTCTCTTCCCATTTTCTAAACACATGTGGGTGAACCTGAAAAAATCATTTTAAAGCACTTGAGGTAATATGCAAAGATTCTCTTTCCAGTTTCGTTCTATACAGTCTATAATGCCTCCATATATCGTTATTCTGTTATAATGAATAAACCACAAGGAACTTAAACAGGGGTGTCGAAATTGTCGAACTGGTATATGCATTGGCAGAGTAACATCAGTAAAGTATTCTTCTTGGGTTAATACAGTAGCGTATTTAAGGGGAGGACCTCCCCCAGGCCTGTGGAATATCTTATTTTGAAATGAAAATGAAGCCCTCTAAATTCTTAAAAATCATCTCAGACCATCTGAAATCCTTTGGCTTCTGGCGGCCTCTGGCAGCCACCGGTCCCCCCGGTCTCAGGCATATTTTACGTACGCCTCTGAATCAGACCTACCTCGCTTCCTTTTATAGAGTATAATGAGTGATGCGGTACTCAGTTTAAGGTTGTGGTTTGGGTAAATAAAGGTTAAAGGGTTACAATTCATTTATCTAAATGGACTGGTACCTGGACATGCTCATGGAAAAACTAATATACTTACGATTCATGCCAGTTAAATACGTGCCATATTTTTTGACAAAGTGAACACTGGTATGTAGCCATTTTTGGTCGACGATTCTTTGGTTTACCGACCATCAACTTTTCACTCGTTTTGTCTTCAAATTTACAATTTCTTAAGATTTCAACTATCACAGGAACAGAAGTCGTATTCAATAACAGTAAATAATTCAGTAAGCTTTTATTGTAGATATCCACCATCCATACATCACACGAGGTATATTTCAGCAGATAAACTACCACATCAGTATGACCACAGTAGGCTGCAGTTAACAAAGGATTGCGTCCACTCTTGTCAGTAATATCAATCAGGAATGAAGTTTTGGGATTGTCTAGTAAAAGAGACACGCTATCAAGAATCCCAGTTTGGCAAGCATAGTGTAAAGCTGTTGAACCTTGCCAATCTTGTAAATGACAGTCTATCCCATGATCAATAAGATACGAGATCATTTCACCGTGACCTAGTTGACATGCCTCGTGTAAAGGTGTTCGTCCCATCTCATCCTGCAAGTCGAGCCGCATTCCCAAAGAATAGAGATGTTCAATAACATCCATGTTATTTTGACGAGCCGCTTCAGAAGCAATCCTTTGATTGGCATGAAGGGTGGATCGAAGAACTGGAGCAATGAGTTTCCCATTCTTACTGAGATCTCTTTCTGCTTCATCTATCAGAAAGTTTTGAAGATCTTGATCTATTACTAAGTTACTTCGCAATTCAGATAAGCATAATAAAGCATCGAACTTCCTCCAACTGACCATAAGCTTTGTCGCTCTTTGAAAATCCTTCTCGGTAAGAACATCACTATATAGTAATGGTATGATATCACAGTGTCCATGTTGACAGGCGTAATGAAGAGGAAGGTGTCCATTTCTGTCATATTCTAGAGGAGAGTGACTTGGAAGGTCGGAGTCTTCTCTGTTCAACAACATCTTAGTAAGCTCGACATTGCCAAACTCGGCTGCTAGGTTGAGAGGCTGCTTGAAATATGAACTAGATATTGGTTTCACTATTTTACACAGTTTCCGACCAGCAGAAATGTTCTTTCGTTGTAAGGCAAGGCATGTGAGAAACAAAATTATTCGATCATCAAGGATATTAAAGTCTATGTTCTCGAACAGATAGTCAATTTTTGATTGCGGTAGTTTGAACATTAACTTTCTACAGCTAACACCTAGTACGTCCTTAGCATCCAGATCGGGTTTGAAACTTAACATATATATAATCACATCCATTCTTTGTCTGATAAAAGCACAATGAAGTGGGGTTCGACCATTTTGATCCTTACATTGAAGGACATTGCTTCCAAGATGATTGACAAGAAGCCGACAGACATCTGTATGACCATTGGTTGCAGCATAATGGAGAGGTGTGTTCTTTCCATGATCCACAAAGTCTCCTTTCATGTTGGGTAAACATGAAACCAAAAGGCTTTGTAGAGTCTGTAGATCTTGTCCTTCTGCCGCTATTTCACACATTTCATCAATATGATCTACAAAATATTTGTATGGTACTAGAAACATACGTAAAAACACTAAGCTGTGTGTAAAAAAAATGGCGCGTAAGAGAATTTAGTTCCCACGTTTAAGGGAGATAACTTAAACCGAAAGTAAAAGTTACATGTCAACTGAGTTAACTTCAGCAAAATGAAAACTTGTATCCAAATTTGTCCAAAATTTTCGTCAGCGATATCTACACCACAGTTGTAGGCGATTACAAAATCTACATTACTTTGATGAAATATAGCGGAGCTTTAGTTAGTTGGATCTTGTGGAATTAAAACCAGGCTACTCACCGTGAACTGGATCTGTTGTCAGAATAGTAGATGGAATGAATGAAAAACCATACAGATGGGGACCATTGAGAATTGAGCGCATCTCTTTATCATCGTATCTTATACCGCCACTCTCCTTCCATAGAAACACGATACCACAACAAGTTACTTCAAATTTATCCCCCTTTTTAAAATACTCCATCTAAAAATATACCAGTGCAATGTATATCTAAATATATCTAAAATTTGGTATTAACAAATTGTTATAGGGATTGTAAAGAATTTTTCTAAAATTGTATGTGCATCGGGGACACTGATAGCTTCAATTTGCACCATTCCAATTTTCATTCCGACGTATGTGTTTCTTGCAATTCCACTAAAACTAACGCGTTTTATGACGTCACTAGAGGGGAGCTACTAAAAGCTACTTTTGATATCATTCTATGCAGTTCCCCTCAAACCGATGCTATCAGTGTCCACGATACACGTAAAAAGTTTAGAAAACCTCTTTACAATTCTATTAAACTTGAAAATAAGGCGTCGACTGTACAAAGTAATATTTTCACCTTCTAATTACAAAGTTCAGAAATTCTAGGTTTACTTTTCAAACTTTATTTGTCATCAATGTAAAAGTCAACATTCAAACTTTCCTTTTCAAATATGAATTCTGAATTTTGCATTATCACCATGTTGGACTTTGACTTCTTGACTTTGCATTCTCATTTAGTTGAACTTACCTTTTGATATTGCACATCTTTAAACTTGAAGGATTCCACAGGAATTCCTCTGTTGAGCTTGGGTAAAATATCAATTAGTTTCAGTGACTTTTCTCGGTTAATCTTAATTCTTCTCTCTTTCCATAAAAATTGAAAATTCTGCCTGTGATTCGGAAATTTGGGTTCTAATTCACCTCTCGTTTCGTGTAATGTAAGAGCAGGATTTAACTCTAATAAGTAAGGGTCTTCTTGTGTTTTCTGATCATCGACCACTTGAAATTTGATCAGCATCGTTGCGGACTCGGTATCTTTTGCCATATTTGAAGTTTCCTGAAAAGTGTGAAATTAAATATTGTGAATTGTGAGTTCTATGTCATACTTGATGTCTCTTATGTTAGGCTAATGATGGCGACGTCAAGCAATGTGTTAATCTGTTATGCAATGAAGGATATTGCGCTGGCTGGGACATCAATATGTGACAGTTTTCATCTGTCTGTACCATCAAGGGTTTACTAGTGGTGGCCCATTATTGACTTAAAGGGGTCGTAAAGAGTTTTCAAATGTGTATCGGGGACACTTATAGCGCCAATTTTCAATCAGACGTCTATGGTTGCTGCAAATTCAACTAAAACTGGGTGTCTGATGACGTCACTAATCGCAAAGGGGAATTGTAGGAACCATAGAAAATTGAAACGGTGCAAATTGATGCTATCAGTGTCTCCGATACACAGAAAATTTTGAAAACCCTTTATAATCCCTTTAACATAAGAAAACCCTTTATAATCCCTTTAACATAAAAACTTCTTAACGATATCATAAAGCTGAAGATAAATATATAAACTAGAAGAGATAACAAGTTTATCCAGTGACGCAGGTTAGGCCTACTTTTGTTCAGAAATCTTTAAAAATACGTCATTATTAACCTTGTTCAGTGACTGATGGGACCGACCGTTCACTATCAAATCAATATACGGTAGACCTAGAAGTCAAAATAAAAATTAGGGCTATTTTGTCATCATGTCAATATAGTAATTATCAAAACCGATCATCCATGGAAAGTAGTAGGCCTAATCGTATGACATCTCTTGGTCTAATATCAAGTGGTTATGATTTTTTAAATTTCAAAAAGAATATATCTTTATAGGCTGTACCTTTTTTGTAGGCCTATATGTATCTTAGACTTATATTTATTGGATACGATATAATTATCATATTAAACATTCTTCATTATTAATTATACATATCGATGGCCTAATTAAGGCTTGTGGAATTTGAAATATGTTAGCTATTTGAATGAAACTCAAATGTTACGAGTAAGCTGTATATACGGATTGAACTGTTTATAAGCCTACATCATGTTTATTTTTAGAACTATACGTGTACTTCAGAATCAAATGTAGTATAAAATGCATGTATATACTAGTGTTTTCATATTTGATATCCAATCAAAAGATAAGAAAAACATTAAGCAGACTTATTTTTTTTTCCCGATACTTTCTCGGTATAAGTTCAATTTACCTTTAAATGAGTCTTGTCCTTTGATCTGTTATATCTATCATTTCGGCACTGGTCTACGGATAAAACGAAAACCACTGTGTTGAATACACCACGATGGGGTTGCTGATACGAGCTCAATTCAGTGATATCACACCCGAGAGAGTAAGTATTCCTTGCCTCGCCATCGACACCTACCGACACATGAAATGGAAATTAAAATAGTACATACTTTACCTACCTACCTTAAGAAACCAAGATTCGTCTGCAAATAACAGCTTTATTACAGACGCCATACACAAGAACTCGCATCCATAAAATCATTAGACTTATAACTAATGGAATGAATGATGTAACGTAATGTAATCACGCATATATGTCAACAATATTGCAGCATTGCCTATGACATTTGCTTGTGAAACATGAAATTAAAACAAAAGTATCATTTGACCGCATTGTAGGGGCTGGAAAAGAAGGCAGGGGGTGGGGGGGGGGGGGGGGGGGGAAATTTTTGCCAAACCAATTTTTTAAA